GTGAGCTCCGTGCTGTTTGGGATTTTGCTGAATAAAACAAAACGCACAAACATGTTAAAGAGTCTAACAGGGACCGCTGCAGCTGAATTCTAACGTCGTGTCTCACCTTAGTTCAACCTCGACTGTAATCGTGTCCTGCTTTTCTTCATGAACCTCAACTATCTGTTTCTGTGACCTAGAAAAACACAATGTGGTGAATAAAGTTTCCTTTGACCAAATATGGTTATTCCCATCACAGGATGGCTCCATCCAATAGTATGACCTGATACCTACACCCAAATGCTTAACTTAAATTACAGCAGTGTTTCTCAAAGTGTGGGGCGTCACAGGTGACTGGTTTTCACCTTTTGACCTTTGTGTTATTTGATGTTGATGATGTAACTGGTCAAGATTGTTGTTGGGCTGTCGGAGGCAGGTTTTTTTTGGAAAGTCAACCACTGCTCAAAAGAAACATTATTATTCTTGTTAATACTAATAGTTTTCCAGGAGATACTCCAAGTTGTGATATTGGTATCGGACATGAAAACATTGTATCGAGCCATCCCCAAGTTTTTTTTTTAATTCCTACCTGACCAGACTGGGGGAATTCATTTGTCTCCTAAATCGTGGGTGTTCTGGTGTATCAAAGGGGGTTGTGGGTAACGAGTTGTTTGAAGACAGTGTGGTGGCAATAGATGCGGTGGTGGCATCTTCAAATGAAGGAGGAGTGCAGGGTGGATCTCTGCCTGTGAGGGGTTTACCGATCAATACAGTTTTAAGAAATAGGAGAGTCATAAATTAAGTAAAACTCTAAACCTTAAATTAAGACTCAGCATTTCTATTCAAGTCACAGCTCTATAAAGAAGTCCTACCATTGTCCTCCAGCAGAGGGAAGCTGCGAGCACCTCGTAGATTCTCCAGGTTTTCCTGTCTCTCTTCACTCAGCGAGGGTCGCTGTCCCGCTAGGCTGTTCCCCGCGCTGGATTTGGACGTAGAAAATGCCCCTCTGCCCCTCTTTGATGGGGAGGATCTTAGGGCTGTTAAAGAAAAGTTGTACTTTCATTTGATATCATTAGACGTCGTACTGTTAATAATATGAACCCTGACAGACTTACAGCTACTCTTCCTGAACACGATGGAGCTGCAGAATTTGTAGAACCTCTCAGCGTAGAACGCAGGCCTGTGAACCGACACGGTGTCCTACGAAGAACAGAGGCTGCAGTCATGGAACTGGCTGAGTACAAATCAACTCCCTGATTTACTGTAACTGCCACATTAACGTCTGAGCTGATGTAATTGACTGGGGTTTGTTTTTGGAATGATTAGTCAGCAGCTGTGTGAGATCTACTCACCCCATCATGGATGAGAGACTTCCAGGAGTGCTCCAGTTTCTTAATCAGTCTGTCAGACAGGATTTAATTAAGTCATTAATCTCACTCAAAAACTCACTGCGGTTACTTGGCAACTGTGGACGGAATCAAAGACGGCGGTCTCACTGGGAGAGTTGAGATCTTTATTAGACCTCTGTATGTCATCGTGAAGTGATTAGAGGAGCTTTGATATGCTAACTCTTCAAATATAATCGGAAAAGTGGCAACAAAAAT